TAATTGGTTGAAACTTATATAAATTATATTCAAATGATTTTACCTTTGTCATTTGCATCACTCGTACTTTGATTAATATTTTACAATAAAGTGACGATTATTTTTTTAAACTTGCATATATTTGGCATCTTGTGCTTAATTGAGCGGAATATATTTTTATTTTTTCATGGTTGATTTAAAGTTTTGATCTTATATACAATAATCTTCCTCTCATATGTGCTATCATTTTGCTTAGGAATAAATTGAGTAAGATAAATTTGAAAAGCATTAAAAATGAGGAATCTTTTATTGTTTCTTATAGTCGTCTCTTGATCTTAAATGCTATACCTTTTTGTTTATGCCAAAAGGGGAAATGAAGTGAGATGATTATGCATGCTTTGATTTAAAATATAATATGCTTTGAATGTATAGCTATTGATTTGTAAAAGATAGGGGGAGTATGAATTACATGATAAATTTATAATATATATTCTTTTATCAATATAATATCAATTGTTCAATCTTACCTTGCAAATTAGCTTGTTTGTTATAATAAAAAAAGGAGAAATTATTGACATATGGTTGATTATAACCTTNGAAGCATACATGCACATAATGAATTATTGAACAAGTGTCACGAATCACAAACTTCAATAAATTTTGACAAAAAGACTTAATCATTGTTGACCTATGGTTGATCATGACCTTAATGTTTTGATTATAACAAATAAGCCAATATTATTTCTAACAATTGATTTTGAGTGATGATAATTCAATGTTGAAATCAATCAAGCATTGGCAAAATCAACACATTATAAATCGAACTCGAAATGAAGAACAAAGTGAGTTAAGCATTCAAATCAAATCATTCGATACAATAGCAATTTGCATGCGATGATCGGATTGGAACTTAAAGATTCACAAAAGACGCAAATCAAGATACAGGTAAAAAGAACGAAAAGGTAAAGACGATTAGACATTGTACAATCATATGTAAAGGTAAAACATTTTTAATACTTGGCAATGAATCGAGACGAGCTCAAGTTTTTATTTTACGATCGAAAAATCACGATACAAAAATGTTTGCATAAAGAATATTTTTCAAAAGGTAAAAATCTCAAAACTCATATTTGAAAAATGTCACTTACCTTGAAAAGTATTTTCAAAACGTCCCTCGAGTACTTACATTTGTTAAAAATTAAAACGAGGACGTTTCGGCATAAAAATGTTGTACCCTCTAGTATGGTGGTTTTATGGCCAACGGTAAAAAATTTAACCGTTTTGATTTTCTGACACAAACGACTAGTTGGCCGTCTGGTATATAGCGGACGTCGGTATGGTAGAGTTTTTGATGATTTTTCATCTATAAATACTAACTTACTTTGCATTCAATTCCAACCTTTCCTAGAGCAATAAGTGAGCATGTATTGAGATAAATCATTGATCTTCATTATTTATTCATCCTCATAAATTGATTTATACTTGAAAAACTTCTGATCATTCTAAACTTAGAAAATCAATTTCTATCAAAGTTTTTAAAATCCAACACTTGAGCCATATTTATTGTCATCTCTCAAAGTGTTTGCCTTCTTCTCTTCTTGTTCTCAACTTTGAATATATTATTCATTAAGAAGAGAAGATTTCACTTGTAAACTCATTTTGAATTGTGGGTTATATTGAGGTTCCGTAAAGCTCAATAGCGTAGGTCGTGTTGAGATCTCGGAAAGCTCAACGTTATATAAGGATCGGTGCTCCTTGTTTGAAAGTCATCGGAAGTGTTGTAAAGGGTTGGATTGCACCATAAGTCAATCAACATAGTGAAAATGCCTTACTTATGACAGAGAGTTTGGTAACGAGGGACGTAGACCAAGTTTGAGATCGAACCTCCATAAATATATCGTTTGCATTCTCTATCCCTTTTACTTCTCGCTTTTATATTTGTACTTATTATTTGTATTAATCTATTTAGTCCTTACTTGTTTGAATTTAGATTAAT